ACCTTGGGTCTATAAGATTGTGGTATTCGAACTAGTTTGATAAATATGTTCAATAAATGATCTTGGCGTTAAATGAAGCATCAATGGTTTTTTGAGATGGATTTCTCTGCAAAACCTTACAAAACCTTAATCAGCATGAGAATTTTATTAAAGATTAAACTGAAATTCGGAAGAACTACCAATTTTATGAGTGTAGCGATAATACAAAAAGAAGACATGCAATACAATACAGTAACATCACGGAAACCCATTACGTTAGTCAACTAAACTCTATCTCAAAAAAGTAACACTGGAAATAACATTAGGTACACATCACAGGAAGAGTAACCTCTAAGATAAGTGGAAATGGCGATCTCTTACACAACGCATATTCTAGAAGTCACTGGGATATCAAATCAGAAAGTATTTCACTTAAGAATACACATGTGATAGCACTCCGATGAATACCACATAAAGTCCCATCGGGCACCACAACAGATTTAGATGAATTATTTTATGAACAACTTAAAGAAAATTCTTACATTCTGAATTACGTTAACGAAAAGGAGCAAAAGCATAAACTTAGCGGACATGTATTTCGCGACTTGCACTATACCATGCGTCAAACTAGATGACTGCTTCACCATCCTCAACTATTTTTACACAAAAGAAGGGGAAAAGCGTATCCCAAGAAAAGCAAAAACATCTTGGATAATGAAGATTAGGTCAAGAAATTCGAATTATCACGATTAACAGAACATCATTTCTTCAACATACCAAAACAGTTTAGAAACGTCCTTGGGTTGCCTGCTGGAACGCGGCTCCTGCAGCTGCCGTTGTGGCGGCGGTGGCAGCGGCCTGCACATTTCTATCTGCCATTACACCATTTGTGAATTCCTGACGAGCCTTATCTATGGAAAATCCTGATCCTCTGCAAGAACAAGTAATAATTGTTGCATAACTTCTATAGTATATAACTGTAAAAGAAACAACAGGTACCTGTAAAGTTTGTGCACTCTAATCAAAGCGTAGACCATGCCAGCGAA